TCTTTGTCTACCTGTGTGTGTCTTTCTGTCTACCTGTGTGTCTTTCTGTCTACCTGTGTCTGTCTTTCTGTCTACCTGTGTGTCTCTCTGTCTACCTGTATATATAATGTTTCTGTGTTAATTAAATTGTTTATTATGTCATATTAGATGAAGTGTGATAGATAAATAAATGGCTTTTCAATTAATTTAAATGAGGAAAATTAATTTGATATATGAGTAAATTGAGTTATGAGCTAGCTTCTGGAATGAATTAAACTTGTAAGTCAAGGTTCCACTGTATTTTGAAATTTGTGTGAAATTGGCCAAATTACCACTTACTGATCACTTTATTTCGTAGTTGAAATAGTTGATTGGGCAGTTTCTTGTGCTCAGTCGATAAAATAGAAGGCATACTAGTGAAATAGCTAAGAATTTGGTCAACTGGAACAATGTAATTGACCTAAAATACAAGTCAAATTGGCCAAAATCGCTGATACGTAAATATTGCCGACTCAGCAAAATTCATGAAAGAATAATTTCATCAGTTTTCCATCAAATTTTATGCTTTTTGTTTTATTACCTTCAGAAAAAGATTCTCTACCATTTCATAAGGAAAAATAACCTTTTTTTTTTTTTTTGACCCTGTGGACACTTCAGATTGGGGGTCTGGACCCTCAAGGGGTTAAATGTCATATGTTATTATAGACAGTTTCATTAATCCATCTATGAGAAACTGTGTACAGTATAGTATTACTGGGAGTAACTGTAGAAAAATATTCTTTTCGTATGCCTCCACTCACAGCATCTTTCGCTCTACAAATAATGTGCTGCTTGAGAATGGGAGTGTTGCTGTTATTTCTTCTACTGCACCAACATGAAGGCAACTTGTACACAATGTAAAGTGTTTGTATTATGGATAAAAAGCTTCAAAAATGCATGCATAATATGAAACGAACGCACATCAACAGAAAGTAGACCGGTGTTATGTTTTCATCTGACCACCTACCACCCATTCACTCTGTTTACATTCTCCACATCTCTCTTGTTCTCTCATTCATGAGGGTATTTAAGAGTAGTTGTGATAAAAAGAGGAGTCGTAAGCCTCTTACTTTAAATACCAAGTTAGGAATGATTAAACTCAGTGAACAAGGTACGTCGATGGCAGTGAGCATAATAATATTACCAAGTTAGGAATGATTAAACTCAGCAAACAAGGTATGTCAAAGGCAATGAGCATAATAATAATAATAACAGAGGATGGAGCAAAATAGGAAGGCTTGGAGGGTGTATAAATTGTAGTGGAGGGGAGGAGGGGTAGGGGCCATCCTAGAAAAGGATGGAGAGAGGGGGTAAAAGAGGTTTTGTGTTCAAAGGGGCTTGGACATACAGCAGGTATGTATGAGCGTGTTAGATAATAGTGAATGGAAATGAATAGTTTTGGGGACACGACAAGTTGTTGGAGTGTGAGTAGGGTAATATTTTGTGAAGGGAGTCAGGAAAACCGGACTTAAGTCCTGGTGGTGGGGTTTGAGATATTGGCTGTTTGGAGTAATATCTGAACTGTCATATCTGGGCACCTCTGCAAAGGCAGGATTGTGTGTGAATGATGGTGAAAGTGTTGAATGATGGGGAAAGTGTTTCTTTTTGGATCACCCTGCCTCAATGGAAGATGGCTGAAAGGTTGAGAGAAAAAAAATGACATCTAAAATGTAAAATTTAATGGAAAACTTGAAGAATTGTGCAGACATGGAGTTGGTGGTCTAGACAATTTTGCCCACTTTGAATCCTGTTTTAAGCCTATTTCAGTACTCAGTTCAACCAATCCCTAGCTATTATGCAAGTATGCATTCCAGTCTATCAATTGAGCACAAGAAACAGACCATTCAACTATCAGAACAACTTTATTATAATGTGCACAGAAGTTGGTAATATGGTCAGTTTTACCCAAAATTGAAAAAAATTTAATTCAAGAACAGTCCAGAATGTATACTAGAATTCCAACCAATAGAGCAACCTTCCCTCTGTTCATTAATCCTTAAACTGTTGGTCCCATAATATTACGTCTTACAAGCCAGTGTTGGTCCCGTAATACTACACCAAAATTCTAGGAGCTTCAGATCTGGTGGGAGGAAGATGGTAGGCCTACATGTGAGAGAATAGGTCTGTGTGCTCAGTGTGTGCTCTATGATATAAATCTGGGAGGCCACAGTTCATTGTGGGAATGCCAATTCAGTACGCCTGGTTTACCATGCCTAGCGGTAAGGAATATCTCACTCCCCAGTGAATTTGGGGCTCTTCTCTTCCCAAGTGATAGTTCTAACACAGATGGAAGTGTCAGTGAAGATGAATTTCATGGTTTTGAGGAGTTTGTGACCGAAAGTAATGATAAGGGAAGACAGCGTGGGTGGTGGGAGGGCAGCATGGGTGATGGGAAAGGCAGCGTGGATGATGGGGAAGACAGGATGGATGGTGGGGAAAGCAGCATGGGTAATGGGGAAGGCAGCATGGGTGATGGGGAAGGCAGCATGGATGGTGGGGAAGATGGTGTGGGTGGGGAATACAGCATGGGTGGTGGGGAAGGCAGCGTGGGTGATGGGGAAGGCAGTGTGGGTGATGGGGAAGGCAGTGTGGATGGTGGGGAAAACAGTGTGGGTGGTTGGGAAGACGGCATGTAAGTAAGCTTATTCAGGTATACACGAATACAGTTACATAGATTATAATTATGATACATAGCAGCATGTGTAGAGAGCCTAGGATAACCCAGAAAAAGTCAAAATGATTTACTTCCAGCATGGGTGGTGGGGAAAACAGTGTGGGTAGTGGGGAAGGCAGCATGGGTGGTGGGGAAGATGGTGTGGGTGGAGAAGGCAGCATGGGTTTGTGTAAACAAGTTTACAATATTTGTGCAATTATTGTGTTGCATACAAGTGGATATATATAGTACATTATGCATTATATTGGTCTCACGGGCCACAAAAATTGCTTGAAAAAATTAAATATTAGAAAAGGAAAGAAAAAATAGAATAAAAGTAAAAATAATATTACTGAGTGAGCGGCAGTCGCCAATGTTGCCATAAGCAGTTCACTTTCTGTCAACTTCACGCCTCTATATCTCGGCAAATACTGATCGCAAACTTTTTCTTTTCTTTTATAACGCTCAGAAAATTATTCTTAAGATATTGGTAAGAAAAATATATATATATATATTTATAATATATATATATATAATATATATATATATATATAATATATATATATATATAATATATATATATTATATACATGTATATATATATATATATTATAATATATATATATATATAATATATATATAATATATATAATATATATATATAAATGTCACCATGGTATTTAATATATTTATAGATGGGTTGTAAAAGAAGTAAATGCTAGGGTGTTCGGAGAGGGTGGGATTAATTTATGGGGAATCAAATTCAAATGGGAATTGACACAGTACTTTTTGCTGATAATACTGTGCTATGGGAGATTCTAAACAAAAATTGCAAAGGTTAGTGGATGAGTTTGAAATGTGTGTAAAGGTAGAAAGTTGAAAGTGAACATAGAAAAGAGTAAAGGTGATGAGGGTATCAAATGATTAGATAAAGAAAAAATTGGATTATCAAATTGGGGAGGAGGAGTATGGAAGAAGTGAATGTTTTCAGATACTTGGGAGTTGACGTGTCGGCGGATGGATTTATGAAGGATGAGGTTAATCATAGAATTGATGAGGGAAAAAAGGTGAGTGGTGCGTTGAGGTATATGTGGAGTCAAAAAACGTTATCCTATGGAGGCAAAGAAGGGAATGTATGAAAGTAATAGTAGTACCAACACTCTTATATGGATGTGGAAGCTTGGGTGGTAAATGCAGCAGCGAGGAGACGGTTGGAGGCAGTGGAGATGTCCTGTCTAAGGCAATGTGTGGTGTAAATATTATGCAGAAAATTCAGAGTGTGGAAATTAGGAGAAGTGTGGAGTTAATAAAGACATTAGTCAGAGGCAGAAGAGGGGTTGTTGAGGTGGTTTGGTCATTTAGAGAGAATGGATCAAAGTAGAATGACATGGAAAGCATATAAATCTATAGGGGAAGGAAAGAGGGGTAGGGGTCGTCCTCGAAAGGGTTGGAAAGAGGGGTAAAGGAGGTTTTGTGGGCGAGGGGCTTGGACTTCCAGCAAGCGTGCATGAGCGTGTTAGATAGGAGTGAATGGAGACGAATGATACTTGGGACCTGACGACTGTTGGAGTGTGAGCAGGGTAATATTTAGTGAAGGGATTCAGGGAAACCGGTTATTTTCATATAGTCGGACTTGAGTCCTGGAAATGGGAAGTACAATGCCTGCACTTTAAAGGAGTGGTTTGGGATATTGGCAGTTTGGAGGGATATGTTGTGTATCTTTATACGTATATGCTTCTAATCTGTTGTATTCTGGGCACCTCTGCAAAAGCAGTGATAATGTGTGAGTGTGGTGAAAGTGTTGAATGATGATGAAAGTATTTTCTTTTTGGGGAATTTTTCTTTTTTGGGTCACCCTGCCTCGGTGGGAGACGACCGACTTGTTGAAAAAAAAAAAATATATTTTAATATTTTTTGACACTGAGAGCAAGTTTGTGAGTAGGGCTCTCAACAGTGAAAGGGTTAATCATGTCCCCAGGCATGCCCCAAAAACTCTTTCACCATATTCACTCCAGTTCAGATGCTCCTCCAAACTGCAAATATCCTCACTCCTCCTTCAGAGGGCAGGCACTGGAGGTGGGAAGTACAATGCCTGCACTTGAAAGGAAGGTTTTGGGATATTGGTTGTTTGTAGTGACATCTAAACTGTCATATCTGGGCACCTCTGCAGACAGTGATTATGTGTGAATGATGGTGAAAGTGTTTTTTTCTTGTTTGGGTCACCCTGCCTAGGTGGGAGACGGCCAGCGTGTTGAAAAAAAAATATATGTATATTTATTTATAGAGTTAAGTTTCCTTCTGATACTTTTCTTTCTGCATTTCATAATAGCCAATAGATGTACAAAAAGAAGACCCATCTGTCTATGACATGCGCTTCCTCATACCACTGATGTTGTACTTAGCTGAAAAGAATATGCCAGAGATTGATTATGCTGAGTATGGTGCAGTAGCTATTGGCTTTATAGCAATGACCTCTCACCAGCGAGATGTTTGGGGTGCTGGTGCTGCTATACTGAGATGTATGGTAGAGAAAATGGAAAAATCTAGGTAATGAACATACTTGATTTTCCAAAATTCAGAAAAAGATAAAGTTGATAGGGTAGCTGCATGATATCATTTGAAATGTAAAATATTCTCTTGAATTTGAAGTGATTTTTTGTCTTACTATTATCAAGTGATTAATTTCATTCATGAGAAAATTACAGCAGATTTTTCTTAGCTGTAATTTAGTATTTCAATAGAGTATATATAGGATTTGTACTTGATTCTTATTTTGAATTACGTAATATTTAGCTAATTTTTGCAATTGCTGTATTTGATGTTGATAAACTAAATAGAATTATTTACTCAATATATTTTTTAAACCTCATAATTATCCATTTGTTCTAGCCACCAGCGACTAAAATTGCCATGGATGTGGTTGGTGGGTGTCGTCAGCTATGCGCTTGAAGGAAAACAGCGACGTCTTCCAGCTCTAACAACTCATTTCCTTATTCGTGCATCTCAGCTTCTCTCACAGCCGAGACATCCCATGTATCAGCCTGTCCTCAACTATCTCTTCCTCAAACCTGCTTTCAAACTGTACTATGTAAGTATTATTAAGGATCTCAAGTAGAAAGAATACATTATGGACTTAAACTGTTATATTTTGCGAGATATTACCAGTAGGGAAAAAGTTTTATATTTTGTTTTATAGTTTCTAAATGATGTTTTATATTTATATTGAATTGAAAATACACTGGCTATCAAACCATACCATGGGTGGGGTTTGAACCTGCGGTATGGTTTGTTTGTAATCGTGTCATTACGATTTTGTGAGTCAGGTACACTGGCTATGTTTCACTAAGGCAAAGTAACCCTAAGAGTTAAAATAACATTCACTATCATTCATTTCCTGACTGTCTTTTTAGAACTGTGTACTAAAATCACAGTTCAAATGATTCACTAAACCACAACATCCTGCCTTTCCTTCACAGTGCAGGGACTCCACTTCCTGCGTGTAGAGCTCAAATTTGTCAAGCCAGTTTTCTGAATCCTTTCACAAGTACAGTGGAACATCTGCTTACAAGTGCATCCACGTGCAAGTTTTTCCAGATGTGAGCAGTCGCTCGGTTGATTTTTTGCTTCCAGATGCAAGCGGGCCTCAAGGGAGGTTCCTTGATGCTGTAGAGGAGCTCTTGCTCTTGATCTAGGGAACTGGATCTCAGTTGTTTGTTGGAATATCTTATTGAAACTTGGGCAATGTATGATGGAAAGATACTTCTTAACCCTTTCAGGGTTGGTGTCGTACTAGTACAGCTTGCACACCAGGGTTGGTGCCGTACTAGTACGCATAAATTCTAGCGCCTTCAAATCTAGCGAGAGAAAGCTGGTAGGCCTACATATGAAAGAATGGGTCTATGTGGTCAGTGTGCACAGTATAAAAAAATCCTGCAGCACACAGTGCATAATGAGAAAAAACTCCAAACGTGTTTTTGGTTTAAAACAGCGACTTTGCAGTGTATTTTCGTATGCTATTTATGGTTGTATTCTAGTTTTTTTCCTGGTCTCATTTTATAGAATGGAAGACATATTACAGAAATTGAGATGATTTTTATTGGTTTCACAATGAAAAGTACCTTGAAATTGAGCTCAAAGTAGCAGAAATGTTCAATTTTTGCCAAATTTCAAAAGTAAATAAATCAAGCCATGCGTCCAATACACGTCAACTGGTGAGTCTGATATTCTTTCACAAGTGCGCTGATATTATTTATACCATTTCTACACTAATGCAGTAGTCTGCATAACAGTAAATCTTCTATTTTTTGTGAGAATAAAAATTCAAAGTGGAAAGCAAAAGAAATGTAACAGAGGCCTGGGGACATGTCTAATGAACAGAGGAAATGTTATTTTAGTGCCAGGAATGTCTGTCTTGTTTATTCTGGACCCTATTTGGAAATTGGCATCTTTTGAAATTTGTTTGAAATTGGCAAAATTGCCAGTTTCTGACCACTCTATTGGATAGTTGAAATTGGTAAATGGGTGGTTTCTTGTACTCATTCGATAGAAAAAATGGAGTTCTAGCGAAATAATTATGATTTTTGTCGACAGGTACATTGGAATTGGCCGAAAATAGGGCTCAATGTGGGGAAAATCGCTGATGCATTAACATCATCGAGACTGCTTACTTCACGAGAGCATAATTCCATAAGTTTTCCACCAAATTTCATACTTTTGATGACATTATGATCGGGAAAAGATTCTCTATCATTTCATAAGAAAAAAAATTCTCTCTGTCTCTCTCTCTCTGTCTCTCTCTCTCTGTCTCTCTGTCTCTCTCTCTGTCTCTCTCTCTCTCTCTCTCTCTCTCTCTCTCTCTCTCTCTCTCGTCTGTCTCTCTGTCTCTGTCTCTGTCTCTCTCTCCTCTCTGTCTGTCTGTCTCTCTCTCTCTCTCTCTACTCTCTCTCTCTCTCGTCTTCTCTCTCGTCTCTCTTCTCTCTCTCTCATCTCGTCTCTCTCTCTCTCTCTCTCTCTCTCTCTTCTCTCTCTCTCTCTCTCTCTCTCTCTCTCTCTCTCTCTCTCTCTCTCTCTCTCTCTCTCTCTCTCTCTCTCTCTCTCTCTCTCTCTCTTTCTCTCTCTCTTTTCTCTCTCTCTCTTTCCTCTCTCTTCTTCACTCTCTCTCTTTCCTCTCTCTCTCTGTCTCTCTCTCTGTCTCTCTCTCTGTCTCCTCTCGTCTCTCTCTCTCGTCTCTTCTCTCTCCTCTCTCCCTCTCTCTCCCCCTTTCTCTCAGGGGGGGTGTCCCCCCGCCTGGGGGTTTTTTTCCCCCCGGTCCCCCTGGTCTCTCTCTCCCCCGTCTCTCTCTCTCTCTCTTGTCTCTCTCTCTCTGTCTCTCTCTCTCTCTCTTTCTCTCTCTCTCTGTCTCTTCTCTCTCTCTCTCTCTCTCTCTCCTCTCTCTCTCTCTCCTCTCTCTCTCTCTCTTTCTCTCTCCTTCTCGTCTCTCTCCCTCTCCTCTTCTGTCTCTCTCTCTCTCTGTCTCTTCTCTCTCTCGTCTCTCTCTCTCTTTTCTCTCTCTCTCTCTGTCCCCTCTCTCTCTCTGTCTCTCTCTCTTCTCTCTCTCCTCTCTCTTCTCTCTCTCTCTCTCTCTCTCTCTCTCTCTCTCTCTCTCTCTCTCTCCTTCTCTCTCTCCTCCTTCTCTCTCTTTTTCTTTTTCTTTTACACAGGTTTTGGGTTAAGGATCCCCCTAGCTTTATTGACAAGCTGTTTACGGGTTTTAAGGATTCCTAACTTTTTAAAATTTTGGCAAGTTTAAGAGCTGTTACCTACATCACCTCATTTAAAGCTAATTTTATTGTTATGAGACATACAAGTAGGGAACAGGATGAAGTTGGAGCCATCTGTGGGCCAGCATTTTTTATTTTATCAACTGACTTTATCTCGTTGACATCATTATGCTGTACGAATGTGTTCCATACTCGAGTCATCCTGGGTATATAGGATCTCAGATGAAGTGAAGTTCTGAAGAAGGGTACAGCCAGAGTGAAGTTGCTGCTTTCTGCCCGTCTTGTGGCATAAAAGCTTGTTTCACGCTGTCCTCGAAGTGGATCCAAGTGTGGTACTTTGACAATATTGGCCTTGTACATAACAGTAAGGCCACCCACATCTCTCCTATGTTGAAAGCTCTGCTGAAATGACAGATCTATCAAGGATGGGTCCAGGCAAGAGATGAGACGTCTTGCTCTGTTCTCTACTCTGTCAAGCAGTCGCAGATGAGAGGGGGGGCAGGCAAACCAAGAAAGTGGAGCATACTCAAGGTGGGAGCGTAATGTGCCTCGTACAGAATCTTGCAACCCCTACTGTCAAGTAGATGCAAGATACGGTGAAGTGCTGTAAGCTTCCTGGCTGCCTTGTTTGCAAGATTTACAACATGGTTCTACATGGTTAGTTTGGAGTCAAATTTCACCCCAAGGATATCAACTTCTTCTCCAGGTGCCAACACCCTCCCATTCATCCTTACTACTGCACCAGCATTACCATCATGGTGCCTAGAGACGATCATCATTTGCGTTTTCTCAGGTGCAAATGTTACTTGCCATCTATTTCCCCAAGCTGATATAGCTCTCAGCTGATGATTGATGTAGCTTAGAGCAGCTGGCATTTCTTCTCTTGGATAAGTGAATGTCAGTGTGCAGTCGTCTTCATATGCACGTGATTCTGGTGATGAGATGAAGAAGGTCGTTGAAGTAGACATTCCATAACAATGGTCCCAGCACGCTTCCTTGTGGAACACTTGCCCCAATAGGATGTCTTGCTGATTCCATTCCATTGAGAACTACACTTAGAGATCTACCATGAAGGTAATCACTGAGGAGAACATAGCGTAGACGCTGCAATTCCCAGTGCTTGAAGTTTTGCTAAGAGGCCCTGGTGCCACACCCGGTCGAAAGTGCCAGCAATGTCCAGTGCTACCACACAGCTGACTTTGGATTCATCCAGTGACTGGTGCCACTTAGTGGAGAGGTTTAACAACAGATCAGCAGCAGAGTAACCTTTCCTGAAGCCATATTGACGATCACAAAGTAGTGAGTGATAGTCAAAAAAAACTGTCATTTGTCTTGAGATTATTGTCTCAAGGATCTTACCAGTGATTGACAGGAGTGACACTGGTCTGTAGTTGCTGATTTCTGCTCTGCTCTTCTTTTTGTGAACAGGGACTACATTTGCCTCTTTCCATAGAGAGGGTCATTTACACTGTACTAGGCAGTGCTGAAAGATGCAAGGTGCTGTTAGCTGGTCTGCACATCTTCTCAGCAATCTTGGGCTCAACTTTCTCTCTCTCTCTCTCTCTCTCTCTCTCTCTCTCTCTCTCTCTCTCTCTCCTCTCTCCCCTCTCTCTTCTTCTCTCTCTCTTCTCTCTCTCTGTCTGTCTCTCTGTCTGTCTCTCTCTCTGTCTCTCTCTGTCTGTCCCTGTCTCTCTCTGTCTCGTCTCTGTCTCCTCTCTCTCTCTCTCTCTCTCTCTGTCTCTGTCTCTCTCTTCTCTCCTCTCTTCTCTCTCTCTCTCTCTCTCTCTCTCTCTCTCTGTCTGTCTCTCTCTCTGTCTGTCTGTCTGTCTGTCTGTCTCTCTCTCTCTCTCTCTCTCTCTCTCTCTCTCTCTCTCAAAATTTCCAACCTTGAGAACAATTTTAGGAGATGGCCTGCCGACCCTGAAAGGGTTAATGTACGCCAAAAATGAAAGAAACCGGACCATAAATAACGGAGTTTACTTCTCAGCCGTTCCCCTCCTCTTAGCGGTATTTTTTCGTATGGTTTTTATGGTTGTATTCTCATTTTTTTGGTCTCGTTTGATAGAATGGAAGATATACAGTGGACCCTCAGTTATCAGCCGTAATCCGTTCCAGAAGCTCAGCCTAAAACTGAAATGGCTGAAAAACCAAATAATATTTCCCACAAGAATTAATGTAAATACAATTAATCTGTTCCAGACAAAAATATTCAAAAAAAAAAAATATTTTTTCTAACAATTAAATCAGCATTACATACCTTTCTGAAGACTAATCCTGGCTTCTGGAATGCCTGCTACACTTCCTGCATGCCTGATACACTTCCTGCATG